CACCACAGGGGCCCCAGGAAGCTGTCGGAGTCCATCAGCCTGGCCTAGTGTGAGGGGCCTGGTCTTGGCTTCAGAAGCTGGATGGGCACACATCAAAGGCAGCCTGAGCCTGGGGTCAGTGAGGCAGAATAATTTAACGAGGCTGCAGGAGAGAGGCTTGGCTGCTGGGGGGTGGGAAGGATGCCAGTCTGTGGCCAGGGCTACTCCCAGGTTCCTCAGCCCAGCATCTGCGGGCTGTGTGTGCTGTGAGGGAGAAGGCTGGCTGTGTTATGAACCCGAGAGCACCACCCTTATACCCCGTGCATGGGGAAGGTGCATCTGAACCAGGGATGGCTTACTCTTGCCTGGATACCAATCTGGTCTTCAGGAGTCTCGAAGAGCTGCAGCGGAACATGCACACCATGTCTGAGGCTTTTGTGACACTCTGACAAGACATGGAATGCACAGAAGATCGTTTTAGACCCATGGCCTAATTCACTGGCCTTCCTTATAGAGGCAAAACTCAGAACCAGAGTGAGGCAGGGAATTCCCTAAGGCCATTCAGCAGAATGAAGGTCAGACTTAGAATCCAGAGCTCCTGAGTCCATGTCCAATGACCTTTCTACACTGTAGGGCCAAGACCATAATCCATCAACATGATTTAGTGACAGGCTGCTTATTTGGTGGTCTGGTCATTCTCTCCTTTCCTTACTTTGTAGAATGGGGACTGCTTCCCTTGTGCCTACACCCAAAAGTCTTGCCGAGCAGTCTAAGAATAGAGGCTAAATGGGGTATCTCCTCATCTCCCCCAGACAGAAGTGTGTGTACGTGTGTGTTGTCATCTCCTTTTGGAGGACCTTAGGTCAGAAAGGGAAATGTGGGGGCACTCAATCTAGACAGTTTGGCATTCTAGATGTGCATAGACGGGGGCAGTTCGGGGGGTGGGGGTGGGGTAGGAGATGTAAGGATGAAGGGTTGGCTGAAGACAGAATGGCCTTTGCTAGGAAATGCTTGTGACAGGGCTAGGCTAGGAACACCCCTGTCAGTTCAGTGGCCATAGTGAACTTCTGGAAGTCCTTGTGACCAATATTCCCTCCCGGGGGCTCTCAGGTCCATCTGTAGAGAATGACCCAAACCTCTCAACGGTAAAAAGCAATTTGGCTTTCTCTAGACCAGCAGTTTTCAATACGTGGGTTGCGACCTCTTTGGGGTTGAATGACCCTTTCATAGGGGTCACCTAAGACCACCGGAAAAGACAGATTGTGGTGATATTGTGTTCCCCAATATATTGTGCACCCTAATAAATTTATCTGGGGTCAGAGAACAGAACAGCCACTATACAGACATAGAGGCTAGAAAATGGTGGTACACACATCTTTAATCCTAGCATTCCGAAGGCAGAGATCCATTTGGATCTCTGTGAATTCAAAGCCACACTGGAAACAGCCAGGCATGATGATTCATGTCTTTAATCCCAGGAAGTGATGGCAGATAGCAGAAAGGTATTTAAGGTGTGAGGACCAGAAACTAGAAGCTTTTGGCTGGTTAAGCTTTTAGGCTTTTAGCAGCAGTTCAGCTGAGATCCATTCGGATGAGGACGCAGAGGCTTCCAGTCTGAGGAAACAGGATCATCTGAGGAACTGGCAAGGTGAGGTGGCTGTGGCTTGTTCTGCTTCTCTGATCTTCCAGCGTTGACCCCAGTTGTTTTTATTAATAAGAACTTCTAAGATTTGTGCTACAACAGATATTTACATTATGGTCCACAACAGTAGCAAAACTACAGTTATGATGTAGCAGTGAAAATAACTTTATGGTTGGGTGTCACCACAATGAGAGAAACTATTTGGAAGGGTCACAGCCTTAGAAGGTTGAGAACTGCTGCTCTAGATCCTGGGTTTAGGTTCTAGAACCCAGAGCCTGCACTACAGTTCAAGTCTACCACCCCTGAGCTCAGTCCAACTGAAGGGGTTGCTTGGCTGCCCCAGGACAGACGGATACTCTTGGCTTGAGGCTTCACACTGAGCCAGGGATCTCCAGTCAGACACAGACTACTGGTTGACCTGCATACGTCCCTTCCACCCCTCTGCACTGCTTGCCTGGCACCTAACACACTGGAATTTGAGATCCCTCAACCCAAGATCTCGAGAGTCAGGCTGGACGCTGTGGTGTGTCATAACACTGAATATAGCAGGTAACTGATAAGCGCTGAGTGGTGGCCTCAGACTGGCCTCAACGCCCGTGCTTTCAGATGGTCCTGTACTTCAATTCATCCGTAAGCTGCTCCATGAAACAATTCTCCCTGCCTGAAAACTTCTCAGTGAACTACTCTTCCTCACTCAAGTCCCAACTCAAGTGGCCCTACCTCTGGCTCCACTTAACTGTTCTCTGTCCATGCTCGTCTAGAAGATTGACAGCTGGAACCAGCCAGGATTTGAGAGACCTTTGTATCTGATATGTTCCTATGCTTCAGCCACTCGAAAAGACTTATGTGGCCCAAATAAATCCATTTCAACATGTCACTCAGAAGTCTGAGTTATCTGGTTCACCAAGTTGCATAAATCCCATCAGTGGTTCTGGGTGTTTTGCCCTCAAGTCTGGGCACCTCGACCTTTCTCTTCAGAGGGCGGGGAAGCTGCCTTATGACTCAAAGTCTGGCCCACTGAGCAAGGAGAGTCCATAGCAGGGCTCCAGGCAGAAGACATACAGAAAACAAGACGAGACCAGCCCTGCTGCCAGCCTGGCCTGGCTACTCCTGGCTTTATGACTTGGCACTTTTTGGGACTACCTGTTGGCTTGGCCAAGATGATGTAGTGTGAGCTGCCTGGGCCTGTGAGGAACTGGTGTTGGTTCACCTTTTCCAGGGATGCTAATGGCAATGCCAGCATGTGCCCTTTTAAGAATGCAGGGTCTAGGTCAGGCATGGTGGTGCATAGGTAGATCTCTGTGGGGTTAGGCTACCTAGCAAATTCCAGGACAGTGAGGGCCGCATAGAAAAGAAGAGGAGAGAAGAGAAAAGAAGCTTCCCCACCAAAAAAACAAAACAAAACAAAACAAAACAAAACAAAACAAAACAAAAACCAAAAACCAAAAACCAAAAACCAAAAAACTAGCTCACCTCAGGGAGCTTCTGCCAGAGTCTGTCCTTAATTGTGTCCGATCAGGGTCAGTTTCCCCTTCTGCAGTAGGAGGTGGGGACATCTGATCCTACCAGTGAGAGAACCTGGGTGTGTGCTATGTATGTG